CGAAACCCCCCCCCCCCCACACACACTCCCAACCCCTGAGAACGTTCCTTCTAAAAATGTGTCGCTTTAAAGGACAAGCGGGCTAACCCAGATCTCGGGGGTCTCCAGAAATCTTGACATACACCAAAAGTCAGCATTGCCCTACCTATAGGAGAAGTTTGGTTTCCCTGGTGTGTATATTTGTTTGGTTATAGAGAAAACTCTCCTTGTCTTTTAAAGAAACTGAGCAAGGGGACAAAAGCTTTACCTTCGATTTTCTCCTCAAAACAGAATTTTTCGGGATAGTCCCCTTTGTGCTTACAAGCGACCAATGAAGAAAACAGACGTTTGAGATACATTTTGGAACCTTCTCGTTTTGTGTATGACGCCCCCCCCCCCAAGCTTTCTCCCCATTTTTCACCTCTTATATTTTACCCCTTTAAAGAGCTTAGATATAATGCACACATGTACTAAACGCAATCCCCGCTCCAATGTTTCTGATAGACATCAAAACAAAACAAAACAAAAGCAAAACGAATAATGTGGGCGGTTGGCGGGTGCTCTGGTGTGGTTTGCTCCTTAATTTTTTCCTATCAAACATCTATCATCCTTATCTCCCCTTCTTCTTTTTATGTTTGTTACTCTCTTGTAACACCTCTAACCTTCTGACGCTCATATGACCTTATGCAGTTGTGAGCGCCGTAAAACCTCTACTACAACTAAACTAAAAACGAATAATAGTTCTCCGACATTCATAATAAGTGCTAGAGACACTGACTTCGTGTTTGTTCCAATGAAGTACTGACAATCAAGGTGGCAGCTAGGGAGCTTGTTTAGCCGGTTTGTTTTAATAAGGTTTTACGGCGCTCGCAACAGCAAAAGGTCATATGAGCGCCAAGCGGTGGATGTCAACAGAGAAGTCCTTACAAGGAATCGAGTTTACTCTGCTCACCTCTCTAGCTTCAACAGCACAAAATCTGCTTCGACTATCAAGGCATCCCGGAAATAGCAGTTCACAAGAGAGTGACAAAAACATATATAAAAGAAATAGAGGAAAATGACGACAGTAAGGATGAGGAAAGAAAAAGCAGCAGTTCCCCCTATGTTGTTCCTGCACAGTATGAGCATGACATTGATAAATCAGCCCATTTACAATTCTACTGTGCATAATAACATGTTGATATCTCCCCTTTGGGAAATTAAGTCTCTGACAGTCCAAATACCAAGATCTGTCACAGCAAAACGTCAGATGACACCTCCCGTCCTCGACAGACGCACTATCCCGCGCAAAGATCGTGGACAAACTCAGACAGTGAGCGAAGAACATGATCTTCACCGC